ATTAGAAGAGCGTTCAATTGCATGAATAATCAGCGATCAAAAATTTACATGGACCTGTTAATAAAAAGTTTAAACAAAGCCAGTTAGGATGGATTCCTCAATTACTAAAAAATATACATGGAATTAAAAGAACCGACCACTGAATAAAAGCGATAAAATCCTTTGTGTGCGCCCCCCTCCTCCTCCCCTCCCTGCCCTCTCAGCGTAATGTAAGAGGAGAAGTGACAATTTGTTTGGTGTCTTTAAAGAATAATTTGTCTATGTTATTTAATAGAGATGCATGGCACCAGGGTTCTGGAGTGTAAATGAGCCTGCTGAGTGATATCCACGCAACAAGCCTCTCAAATCACTTCTGGAGAGAGGGAGAGGGAGAGAGAATCAAAAAAAATATTGCTTTTTAATATTCAAAAACAGTTTGCAAAATTTAATCAAAGCAGAGCAAAAGCTAACATTTTTACCACTTTGACATTTTTATTAGCGCTTTCATAAATTTTTAAAACATGAATGGAATTAGTTTAACAACAACAACAAAAAAACTGCCTGAAAACATCTGGAAGAGACAAATAAGAAATAATAAAAAAAATAAATAAGCAGCAACTCTTGGCGAGCAGAATTAGCATGTGGAAAACGCAGGCGCTGCGGAGGAGCTGCCGCAGCTCCCCGGCCCTGCCCGCAACCCCCCGACCCAACGAGTGTGAGGTCATACCTACGAGGCGATGACATCACCGCACGCTGGCAGCCAAAGGGAAGGTAAGACAGGCAGGTGAACGGAAACAACCAATAATGTAAATAACCGGAGGGAAGGCAAGGATGCCAGCGCACGTCAGGGACGCGAAGGCAGTGAGAGCGGATAAAGGACCGGAGCGGGGTCGGCCGCGTGGCAGGAAAGCACGGCAAGTCAACAGAAAAAAGGGCCACCAAGCACTTCAAGGGACGGGAGCGCGGAGAGTAACCGTGACCCCCCCCCAGCATCACCTCTGCCCCCCAGCACACGCCAGGGTTTGAAGTGCCTCATTTCTCAGCCCGACTGCTGCACACGGGCTGGTTTCAGCAATGAAGCTCTCCCGTTTTAGGGCCGGGGAGGATAAGGGCTGGGGTATCCCCGCTCCCCTTCTAAATGGGCAGCGTGGAAAGCTGTTCAAGCATAGCAAGAAGCTTGCCCACAAGCGAGATTTAATCTTGGGATAAAGTTGAATGGAAACCCCCCCGAATTACCAGAAAGGGAGCACGCAGTCCTGGCTGGAAACAGCCTTTACTTCTGAGGTAGCCAACAGTGACCCCTTTCCTCCCTGCCATGCTTGTTACCCGGAGCCCCGAGCCCTTCCAATGCCCTTAACGAGGGCCACTCCTCGGAAGATGCAGGTCTGTACCGGGGCTAAAAGGGAACGCGTGGCTCTCCCCAAAGCAGTGCTACCTCTGCAGCTTGGAGATCACGGCACTGCCGGCAAGTCCCAAGGGAATGAGAAGGATGTGACAGACCCCCGGGGCCATCACCAGGTCAGTGAAGAGGGGTCGACACCGAGCCCTGCCCGCTGATGGGATACACAAAGGTGTCATTTGCCTTCCAGAACCAGAGGCAAAAAAAATCACTTTCAGGAGGGTCAGATTAAAGCGGACAAGAGGGAATAAAAACCTGGAACATTTAACGATACTGAGAATTATTGCTGGTCCGTGAAAAGTATATGACCAGAGAGGGGGAAAAAAAAAAAAAAAAACACGCAACCTGACCAACAACTAGGATGTCCTGGGAGAAGGAACAACAGCTTTTTTTTGGCTTATTTGGTCAGTGGTTCAAGCGAGTAGCAAGGCTGTTTATCCGAATGCTCCCTGTAGCCGAGATTTTTCCAGTCTCTGGCAATGTTTGCTCCACTGGTATCTAAGGCAACAGATACCAGCCCCATGAAATCAGTCCCGCTCCTCACTAACGATGTTAGCCAGTCCTGCAATGAAATTTAACCTGTGACACTGCTGTACTTTTCATTTAAACTTTCATTTGGAGAGAAGCAGTGTTTGGAGACCCCGCAGTTTGTCCTGCTAATAAAGACAAGTGTTGGGACCTTTAAAGGTGCCATTCATCTTTCGCCTTTATTAAATTCAATTTTCTTAAGCCCATGATACATCATGAAATTAAGAGTTGACATTCCTGTGGAAACAAAAATATCTATCAAACATAAATAGGAGGGGGGGGGAAAAGGCCTCTATTACCCAGAATTTATGGCTCAAAGCTGATCTGTTTCCACTTTTTTTTTTTTTTTTTTTTTTTTTTTTTTTACAAGCATATGGTTTGTTTTAGGTATCCAAAATGTTATTACAGATCTAGAATTTCATTAGTAATTATGAAATGGGGAGCACTTTGACACACACCCCCCCCTCCTCAACTCCCTGCAGCTCAGGAAAGCAGCCGGACACACGCATGTTCTCCTGGCCAGTCGATCTGGACGATTTCTATGCTCTCAGGCACCTTTTTTTAGGCAAAACCAGTTGAAATGATAGTCATCGTTCACCAGCCGTAGGAAGCCCTACATACGTCCACCTCTGCTGCTGCCCAGGGGCTACCATAGCCTCATCCTGTGGCCGGTGTCCCCTACCTCCACAAAGCCAAGCGATCACTCTCTCCTGGCTTTCCTACAGCACAAGGCAAGTTGTGAAAGAGCTGAAATAAGATGAAGGCTGTATTTGGAGACTGCAACTAGCCACAGACTACCGAGAATATGGACATGGCTGCAGCGCATGCAATTCCACTCCTGTGCATGGCAACGACATATGTTGTTCAGCAGCGCGGCCTAACTCGAAGGGAAATCTCGGATTCAAATTGATGGTGATAAATAAGCAGCGTTTTATTTTCCTCTCTATTGTCAGGAAGAGTTGAACACGTTTTGCATTGACAAAACCCTGCACGCCGCTCCCAAAAACCCACCCAGGCATTTGCATTTATATTGTGGGAACGTGGAGCTTCTAAAATCAATTTTAACACATCTCAAAAGAGGTTACATTTCTCCCCCAGCTGAGTTAATATATAAATGGGGGGGAGTTAAAGCGATAAAAACCTGTTACCGAGCTGGCTTGCTTTAAAAAGGGCCTCAAGCCTGCAGTACTTGAAGCATGGCGGCCCGCTCAGAGCTCCTGCTTTCCAAGCTGCCCCAAAAGAGAGAGAGAGAGAGAGAGAGACCTCATCCACACCTTCTGCGGGTCCCAGGACAGTGCTCTTAGGAACAGCTGGGAGGCTGCAGGACAAGGGCTGGTGCAAAGGACCTCCTTTTCTGAAGGATTAGAAAAAATCACGTGAAATCAGTGTTATAAGCCCAGCCTTCTCCTGCCCCACCCTCCCCAGTGAAAACCTCCCTTTACAACACCAAGCCGAAGACACAGGAAAAGGGGGAAACCGGGAATTGGTTGTTTTAGTTTTCGCGGTGGTAATAAAAAACGAAAAAAGCCAGCTATGCTCGCTCGCCGCCTGCCCGTAACGGCGAGATCCCTCGAGTTAAAAACAAAGCAGCCAAACTTATGCTGCTATCCACCGACCACATTCTTGCAACTGTGGAAAGGACCGTGATTAGATTAAAAGATTAAAAACACATAGCGAGACTTTCCAGGCTTTGCAACCCCTTTGATCCAAATGTCTACGCAAGAAGTGGGCAGGACGCACTCAAACCCATATTTATTTATTTGCGGCAGATGCAATTGCCCATTCACTTTAAAAACTATCATTGAAAACAATTTATTCCCCCCCGCCCTTGAAGAAGTTTAATAAATACAACGGATAAAAGATGCCAGGAAAAATCAGAGCCGACTGCTCAGAAGGCAATAAACACAAGCGGCCGCCTTGGAGAGAAAGGGATTTTTCTGATAACAGAAAAACACAACTTTCACCAAAAGGCAGCTTTACACCTTCAAAAGGCAAAGGGGGAGGTGGGGGCACGCTGGGTCTCCACCGAGGGAATGCAGGCTCAAACAGCAGCTCATTTCAGCCTGGGTTTTTCCCCCCCTCCTTTTAAAGAAAAAAAGTGGCTTTCTGCACCAGGAGATTATTTCTTAAACAAACACTCGTGTTTTTGATTTACACCACTGGCTGCTCCTAAATAATTTATGGCGGGTTAAATTTATTGCACAGCCCTGGCCGGCTGCAAATTCGAATTGCCAAATAATTAGATTTTAGGGCAATGCTTATAAATTATCCGCCGATTTGTCCGGACTTGTTTGTCAGTTGCTTTGTGCTTCGGGTCATCTTTGGCATTTCGCTGTTTGTGTTTTAATTGCTGATTTACACTTTGACAGATGAGAGTTGATGCCTCCAAGTTTCGGAAGAGAGGGGGAGG